TGGTCTCGAACTCCTGACCTCAGGTGATCCACCTGCTTCCACCTCCCAAAGTGCTGGGATTAGAGACGTGAGCCACCGTGCCCGGCGGAGGAATTTTTTTTTCTGCTGCGAGAAGGGATATAAAGGAGAAGCTTTCCCATATTAGCTCAAATGATTTAGAAATAAATTTTGTCTCAATTTTGTGTTCCTTTTGTAGAAACTTGTTTAGGTCGAGAGTAAATAGCTCAGATTTTTCCATCTTTCTGCTTTCTACTTGAGTCAGGTTATTATGGCATGTGTTTAAATCATTCCCATCTGAAGAAACATTATTATTATTATTTTTTTTGAGATGGAGTTTCACTCTTGTTGCCCAGGCTGGAGTGCAATGGCTCGAACTCAGCTCACCACAACCTCCTGCCTCCCGGGTTCAAGCGATTCTCCCAACTCAACCTCCCGAGTAGCTGAGATTACAGGAAGGCGGCACTATGCCTGGCTAATTTAGTATTTTTAGTAGAGATGGGGTTTCTCCATGTTGGTCAGGCTGGTCTCAAACTCCCAACCTCAGATGATCTGCCTGAATTGACCTTCCAAAGTGCTGGGATTATAGGCGTGAGCCACCGCGCCCAACAGGAAACCTTATTTAAAACAAGCAAAGGCCGGGCGCGATGGCTCACGCCTGTAAACCCAGCACTTTGGGAGGCCAAGACAGGCAAATCAGTTGAGGTCAGGAGTTCAAGACCAGCCTGGTCAACAGGAGGAAGCCCCATGTTGGGCGAAAATAGCTGGGTGTGGTGGTGGGTACCTGTAATCCCAGCTACCCGGGATGCTGGGACAGGAGAATCACTTGAACCCAGGAGGCGGAGGTTGCAGTGAGGCGAGATTGTGCCATTGCACTCCAGCCTGGGTGACAAGAGCAAAACTCCATCTCAAAAAATAGTAAAAAATAGGCCGGATGCTGTGGCTCATGCCTGTAATCCCAGCACTTTGGGAGGTCGAGGCGGGTGGATCACGAGGTCAGGAAATCAAGACCATCTTGGATAACACGGTGAAACCTCGTCCCTACTAAAAATACAAAAAAATTAGCTGGGCATGGTGGCGGGCGCCTGTAAGCCCCAGCTACTCAGGAGGCTGAGGTAGGAGAATGGCGTGAACCTGGGAGGCGGAGCTTACAGTGAGCCCAGATCGCACCACCGCACTCCAACCTGGGCGACAGAGCCAGACTCCATCTCAAAAAAAAAAAAAGAAAAAAACATAATAAAAAATAATAAATAAATAAAACCAACAAATAAAATACCCAAGATGGGCTGAGTGTGGTAGCTCACTCCTGTAACACCAGCACTTTGGGAGGCCAAGGCAGGAGGACCGCTTGAGCCCAGGAGTTTGAGATCAGCCTAGGCAACATAGTGAGACCCCATCTCTACCCAAAAAAAAAAAGGTAGCTAGACATGGTGGTGCGCTGCTATAGTCCCAGCTACTTGGAATTCTGAGGCGGGAGGATCACTTGAGCCTGGGAAGTCAAGGCTGCAGTGAGTCGTGATCATGCCACTGCATTCCAGACTGGGTGACAGGGTGGAGGCATTGTCTCAAAAAAAAAAAAAAATCTAAAAAAATAAGTAACAGTTATTTAAGATTATAAACTGGCAGTGCATAATATATTATTCTTAATTTTTGAAACAGCGTATTGCTCTGTTGCCCAGGCTGGAGTGCAGTGGCACGATCTTGGCTCGCTGCAAGCTCCGCCTCCCGGGTTCACGCCATTCTCTCACCTCAGCCTCCTGAGTAGCTGGGACTGCAGGCGCCCGCCACCACGCCTGGCTAATTTTTTGTATTTTCAGTAGAGATGGGGTTTCACCGTGTTAGCCAGGATGGTCTCGATATCCTGACCTCTTGACCTGCCTGCCTCGGCCTCCCAAAGTGCTGGGATTACAGGCATGAGCCACCGCACCTGGCTGCATAATTTATTATTTATTAAGTTGTCCTTTCCGGGAGTTGCACAGATGATTGTATGTGTGAAATCATGCTGTTTTTGCCACTTTGAAACCAGAATTCAAATTTGGGTTTTTATTTTTAAGAATTATTTATTTATTTATTTTTATTTTTATTTTTATTTTTTTCTTTTTTTTTTTTTTGAGATGAAGTCTCACTCTGTTGCCTAGGCTTGAGTGCAGTGGCGCGATCTCGGCTCACTGCAGCCTCTGTCTCCTGGGTTCAAGCAGTTCTCCTGCCTGGCCTCCCGAGTAGCTGAGACTATAGGCACGCGCCACTATGTCTGGGTAATTTTTTATATTTTTAGTATAGACGGGGTTTCACCATGTTAGCCAGGATGGTCTCCATCTCCTGATCTCGTGATCTGCTCGCCTTGGTCTCCCAAAGTGCTGGGATTATAGGCATGAGCCACCTCGCCTGGCCTATTTTTTATTTTTTGAGATGGAGTCTTGCTCTGTCGCCCAGGATGGTGTGCAGTGGCGTGATCTCAGTTCACTGCAGCCTCCTCCTCCTGGGTTCAAGTGATTCTCCCGCCTCAGCCTTCTGAATAGCTGGGACTACAGGTGCGCACCACCAGTCCTGGCTAATTTTTGTATTTTTAGTAGAGATAGGGTTTCATCATGTTGGCCAGGCTGGTCTCAAACTCCTGACCGCAGGTGATCTGCCCACGTTGGCCTCCCAAAGTGCTGGGATTACAGGCATGAGCCACCGTGCCTAGCCAGCAAAGTTTTTTTTTTTTTTTGAAAGGAAGTCTTGCTCTGTCACCCAGACTGGAGTGCAGTGGTGCAATCTTGGCTCACTGCAACCTGCAACCTCCACCTCCCAGGTTCAAGTGATTCTCCTGCCTCAGCCTCCCAGGTAGCTGGGATTACAGGTGTGCACCACAACACCCAGATAATTTTTTGCTTTTTGTTTTGTTTTGTTTTGAGATGGAGTCTCATGTGTCACCCAGGCTGGAGTGCAGTGGCCTGATCTTGGCTCACTGCAACCTCTGCCTCCTGAGTTCAGGTGATTCTCCTGCCTTAGCCTCCTGAGTAGCTGGGACTACAGGCATGTGCCACCATGCCTGGTTAATTTTTGTAGTTTTTGTAGAGATGGGGTTTCACCGTGTTAGCCAGGATGGTCTCGAACTCCCAACCTTGTTATCCGCACGCCTCAGCCTCCCAAAGTGCTGGGATTACAGGCGTGAGCCATCGCGCCCAGCCATGATTTTGGCAGTTTTAGTAGAGACAGGGTTTCACCACGTTGGCCAGGCTGGTCTGGAACTCCTGACCTCAGGTGATCCACCCCCTTCAGCCTCCCAAAGTACTGGGATTACATGCATGAGCCACCGTGCCTGGCTGAAATTTGGGTTTTTAAACAGCTTTATCGAGGTATAAACACCATAAAATTCACCCATTGAAATTGTACAATTCAGGCTGGATACGGTGGCCACTCAAATTCCAGCACTTTGAGTGGCCGAGGCAGGCGGATCACTTGAGGTCAGGAGTTCGAAACCAGCCTGGCCAACGTGGTGAAACCCCGTCTCTACTAAAAATACAAAAATTGGTGGTGCACGCCTGTAATCCCAGTTACCGGGGAGGCTGTGGCCAGAGAATCGCTTGAACCCGGAGGTTGCAGTGAACCGGTATCACACCACTGCACTCCAGCCTGCAAGACAGAGTGAGACTCCCATCTTAAAAAAAAAAAATTGTACAAATTCAGTGATTTTCTTTTTTGTTTGTTTGTTGGTTTTTTTTTTTTTTTTTTGAGACAGTATCTTACTCTGTTACCCAGGTGGGAGTGCAGTGGTACTGTCACGGTTCACTGCAGCCTCAGCCTTCTGGGCTCAAGGGATCCTCTCATTTCAGCCTCCCAAGTAGCTGGGACTACAGGTGCAAGCCACCATGCCTGAGTAATTTTAAAGTTTCTGTGGAGACAGAGTCTTGCTATGTTGCTTAGGCTGGTCTTGAACTGGTGGGCTCAAGTGATTTCCTCACCTTGGCCTCCCAAAGTGCTGAGATTATAGGCGTGAGCCACTGCGCCCAGCCCAATTAAATGATTTTGTTTGTTTGTTTGTTTTGGTGATAATGTCTCACTCTGTTGCCCAGACTGGAATGCGGTGGTTTAATCTTGGCTCACTACAACCTCAGCCTCCCAGATTCAAGCAGTTCTCATGTCCTAGCCTCCTGAGTAGCTGGGACTGCAGGTGTGCACCACCAAGCCCAGCTAATTTTTGTATTTTTAGTGGAGACAGGATTTTGCAATATTGACCAGGCTTGTCTTGAACTCCTGAGTACCTCCCAAAGTGCTGGGATTACAGGCGTTAGCCACTGTGCCTGGCTCCAATTAAATGATTTGTAGTAAATTTATAGAGCTATGCAACCACCACTGTGATCCAGGTTTAGAACATTTTCGTGTCCCCCGAAATTAATTCTCTTGATTCCCGTTTGTAGTTAATTACAACTCCCTCAGCCCCAGGCAATCACTGATCTGCTTTTTTTTTTTTTTTTTTGAGACAGTATGGCTTTTTCGCCCAGGCTGGAGTGTAGTGGCGCAATCTCAGCTCACTGCAACCTCCCCTTCCTGGGCTCAAGCGATTCTCCTGCCTCAGCCTCCCAAGTAGCTGGGACTACAGGTGTGTACCACCATACCAAGCTATTTTTTTTATTTTTAGTAGAGGCACGGTTTCACTGTGTTGGCCAGGCTGGTCTCAAACTCCTGACCTCAAGTGATCTGCCTGCCTTGGTCTCCCAGAGTGCTGGGATTACAGGTGTGAGCCACCGTGCCTGGCTGATCTGCTTTCTGTCTCTATAACTTTGTCGTTCTCAGACATTTCATATAAATGGAATTAGACAATATGTAGTATCTTGTGTCTTATTTCTTTCACTTAGTATAATGTTTTTGGGTTTCTTCCAAGTTGTAGCATGTTGTAGTATTTTATTTTTGTTGAATAATATTCTTTTGTATGGATATACCACATTTTGTTTTTCCATGTCACTATCCATTGATGAACATTTGAATTTGTTTTCTGTTTTTGACTATTAAAATGCTGCTGTAAACAATTGTAAATAAGTCTTTGTGTGGGCCTTTTTTTTTTTTTTTTAATTTTTCCTGGGTAGAAATCTAGGATCAAATTTGTTATCTTCTTTAAAGGGTAGGGTTTCTCTGTGCTTTTTGTCTGAATGTCCTCTTTGAAATAAGGCATTGGATATTTTTCCTCATTCTTTACTCTTCCCCCCCTTTTTTTAAAAAAATTTTCCCATTTTTCTTACCCAGGGAGCACAATACTTGGGAACCTGAGAAAAACTTGGATTGCCCTGAGCTAATTTCCGAATTTATGAAAAAGTATAAGAAGATGAAGGAGGGTGAAAATAATAAACCCAGGGAGAAGTCAGAAAGTAACAAGAGGAAATCCAATTTCTCAAACAGTGCCGATGATATCAAATCCAAAAAAAAGAGAGAGGTAAGCTTCCTTTCCCTTTTTCCCCACAAACTATTCTTTTGCCACCAAAATAATAATAATAATACATAGAAGTATCATATTTTGGTTATTTCTATTGTAAGGATGGACCTATGAGGTAAATTGGTGAACAAAAGAGCTTCCAGGGAGGTATGTTGATTACAGCTCCCTCTCCTGGCTAAGTGAGAAATGTAATTTGTGGCCACTGAATTGTATTAAGGTGGCAAAATTAAATCTTTATAAACTGTTAAATCACTCCTCTGCCTTCTCCATAAGTAGAGGACTTAGTTATCTTAGAGAAAGAGGATCATTGGTGAATTTTTTAAGAATAGAAAGGGGCTTTGAAATGTTTTGTTTTGAGACAGAGTCTTGCTCTGTTGCCCAGGCTGGAGTGCAGTGACTCGATCTCAGCTCACTGCAATCTCCGCCTCCTGGCTTCAAGCGATTCTCCTGCCTCAGTAGTAGCTGAGATTATAGGCGCACGCCACCACGCCCGGCTGATTTTTGTATTTTTAGTAGAGACAGGGTTTCACCATGTTGGTCAGGCTAGTCTTGAACTCCTGACTTCGTGATCTGCCTGCCTCGGGCTCCAAAAGTGTTGAGATTACAGACATGAGCCACCATGCCCGGCCGGGGCTTTGAAATGTTTACCATGTCACTTCCTTTTTTCTTTTTTCTTTTTTTTTGGAGACAGAGTATCTCTCTGTCACCCAGGCTAGAGTGCAATAGTATGATCTTGGCTCACTGGAATCTCCACCTCCTGGGTTCAAATGATTCTCCTGCCTCAGCCTCCCAAGTAGGTGAGATTACAGGCACACGCCACCATGCCTGGCTAATTTTTTGTATCTTTAGTAGAGACAGGGTTTCACCATGTTGGCTGGGCTGGTCTCAAACCCCTGACCTTGTGAGCCACCCGCCTTGTCCTCCCAAAGTGCTGGGATTATAGCCGTGAGCCACTGCACCCGGCCCTTTTTTTTGTTCCAGTGATAGCATTTGCTTTCAATCGTTGATAATCTTTTTTTGCAGTGAAAATCATATAATATACAATTAAATATTTTATTTATTTTTATTTATTTATTTTTTTTTGAGATAGAGTCTTGCTCTGTCACCCAGGCTGGAGTGCAGGGGCATGATCTCAGCTTACTGCAACCTTCACCTCCTGGGTTCAAGCAATTCTCCTGTCTCAGCCTCCTGAGTAGTTGGAATTACAGGCATGTACCACCACAGCCAGCTAATTTTTGTATTTTTATTTTTATTTTTTATTTATTTATTTTTTCGAGATGGAGTTTCACTCTTGTTGCCCAGGCTGGAGTTCAATGGCATGATCTTGGCTCACTGCACCCTCCGTCTCCTGGGTTCAAGTGATTCTCCTACCTCAGCCTTCCAGAGTAGCTGGGATTACAGGCATGCACCACCATGCCTAGCTAGTTTTGTATTTTTAGTAGAGAGGGTGTTTCTCCACGTTGGTCAGGCTGGTCTTGAACTCCGGAACTCAGGTGATCCACCTGCCTTGGCCTCCCAAAGTGCTGGGATTACAGGTGTGAGCCACTGCGCCTGGCTCAATTAACAATTTTAAAGTGTACAGTTCAGTGGCATTTATATTCTCTCGATCTATTAGTTCTACATACTTGACATACAAAATTAATTTTTGTCTTTTGAATCTTCTTCAGTTTGGGAAGTGTATGAAATTTTGGTTTGATTTAGTTGCTTTAATCCTTCTGATTTTTAGCAAGTAAGTAGAATAAGCACTGTTATTGCCTCTCTCTTTTTTCATCTGTGTGTGGGCGCATAAATACACACACTCTTCCATCTCCTCCCGCCCCCAGCTTCCACTCCTTTCATTTATTTCAAGGTTATGAAGCCTTTTGTGGTGAAGGATGTATCATACACTTTACATTTAATAAAAGCATAAGTCTACTTCGGAATCTTCCAGCCTTCCAGAGTAGCAGCCACAATCATCCGTATTTATCTTCATTGTAATTAGATATATACCTTTCTAGAACATTAGTTCTTAACCCTGTCTACACATTATAATCACCTGGGGGGTACGTTAAAAAAATTTCTAGTGCCTAAGATGCACCCCAGACCAGTAAAATTAGAATTTTTTTTTTTTTTTTAAGACAGAGTCTTGCTTTGTCACCCAGCCTGGAGTGCAGTGGCACGATCTCACTGCAACCTCTGCCTCCTGGGTTCAAGCGATTCTCCTGCTTGAGCCTTCTTAGTAGCTGGGACTGCAGGCACATGCCACCACACCTGGCTAATTTTTTGTATTTTTAGTAGAGACGAGGTTTCACCATGTTAGCCAGAATGGTCTCAATCTCCTGACCTGGTGATCCAACTGCCTCGGCCTCCCAAAGTGCTGTGATTACAGGCGTGAGCCACCACGCCTGGCCTCTGTCATTTTTAAAAAGGAGCTGTCTGAATAATCTGGCTTAGAAGCACTGGCCAGTGCAGAGAGTTTTTGTTCTTAGGCCAGGTTCTGAAGCTGCCAACCTTGAAAACAACCCCCACATGTCCCTTACATCATAATGTTCATCTGGGGCCCCTGATAGCATTCTTAGCAGTACTGGCTGCTGTCAGGTAGACAGCTGAGATGATAGGTGATTGTATGTTTTAAAGGTACAGGAGGGGATTGTGTATCTTTTTTAAGACCCCTGGAGAAGAAATTTGTTAGTTTGCATTATGCCTGATTTAAGATTACTGCCTGTATGATGATTTTAGCATTTTCTTCGCCCCGGCTCCTTTTCAGCAACTTGAACATTTTTCTTCCATTTGCCTCCCCTTCCCTCCCTACGTAGCAAACTGTTTTCAGTTGCCAGTTACGATTTACAACTTAGTCCATGTGCCAGCATTCCAGCTGTGAGCAGCTGTGTGAACATCTGGGAACTTCTTCCCCGTAAGCGCCCCTAAAAGAGGCTATGTTTTTAAAAGTCAGTATCTCTCATTGATCCATGCATGGAATTTCCTTCCAATTGTGGATTTTGGTATCTTTGGGGACCACCCGGACTCCAAATTCTTTGTATGTCTCAGAGGAAAGCAAGTGAACATAAGATCAAAGAGATTTTATTATGAAAATCAGGCAGTAGATATTTAGTTCATTTGGGCACCTCTAAATCTTTTTTTTGTGTTGTCACTGGAGAGGCTAACATTATCTTCCATAATAAAGTTTTTAAAAATTCTCTAGTTTAGGCCGGGTGTGGTGGCTCACACCTGTAATCCCAGCACTTTGGGAGGCTGAGGCATGTGGGTCACTTGAGGCCAGGAGTTCGAGACCAGTGTGGTCAACATGGTGAAACCATGTTGAAAATACAAAAATTAGTCAGGCGTAACTGGGTGTGATGGCTCCCACCTGTAATCTCAGCACTTTTGGGAGGCCGAGGTGGGGTGGATCACCTGAGGCCAGGAGTTTGAAACCAGCCTGGCCAACAAGGTGAGACCCCCGTCTCTACTAAAAATGGAAAAATTAGCCAGGTGCAGTGGCATGCACCTGTAATCCCAACTACTCGGGAAGCTGAGGCAGGAGAATCACTTGAACCTGGCAGGCGGAGGCTACAGTGAGCCGAGATTGCGCCACTGCACTTTAGCCTGGGCAACAGAGGGAGACTGTCTCCAAAAAAAAAAAAAAATTACCTGGCTTGTATAAAATTTTGCTTTTTGGCTCTCATCAGTATTATTACACCTGGATTAGAACCTGTACTCCTTGTCTAGGTTGTATTACTGCATTTAGACCAAGTTTCAGTACTCATCTCATCAATTATCAGATTTTCTTCTTTCTGTCTTAAGAGACAGGTTCTCACTATGTTGCCCACCATGGAGCACAGTGGCATGATCATAGCTCACTACAGCCTCGAACTCCTGGGCCCTGGGCCTCAACCTCCTGAGTTGGAGTAGCACACTTCAGGTGTGCACCACTGTGCCCAGCTAATTTACAGAGACAGTTGCCTATGCTGGTCTCCAACTTCCAGTCTCAAGCAATCCTCCTGTCTCAGCCCCCCAAAGTGATGGGATTACAGGCATGAGTCACTGCACCAAGCCAGTTTTTTGTTTTTGTTTTCTTTTTTGTTTTTGTTTTCAATCACAGTCCAGTTCTGCCTTCTAATGCTAGCAATCATCTACATCCAGAGGGGATAGGCATTGACCAGGGCCTTCTGTCCAACCAAGCATATAGGTATTGGTGTTTGTGATCTCTGAAATTTTGCTATTTAATAGTATTGGCCTTGCATAATTCTTACCTCTATTCTTTCATAAATATAGGCGACTGTGAAATGTGTTAAAATTATTGGTTAGTGTTAAGGTAAACTAAAAGTCTAAAAAAATAAAGATTGAGAGAGAGGTAGTATATTTGAAGTTCATAAGATGAAAAGATATAGTTAGGGTAAACAGGGTATTCTTTAACATTTCAGAAGCTTATTTACAATATCAAGGAGATTCCAAGTGAGTGGGATTAGAGGAATTCCTAGATGTTGACTCCAGAGTATCTTTTTTTTTTTTGAGACGGAGTCTTGCTGTGTTGCCTAGGCTGAAATTCTGTGGTGCGATCTCTGCTCACTGCAATCTCCGCATCCCAGGTTCAAGCAATTCTCCTGCCTTAGTCTCCCGAGTAATTGGGGTTACAGGCACCTGCCACCACGCCTGGCTATGTTTTTGTATTTTTAGTAGAGATGGGGTTTCACCGTGTTGGCCAGGCTGGTTTTGAACTCCTAAGCTTGTGATCCGCCCGCCTCGGCCTCCCAAAGTGCTGGGATTACAAGCGTGAGCCACCATGCCTGGCTGACTCCAGAATATCTTATAGGACATTAGAGACTTTTAGGGTTCACCTCCAATCTTCTGGAGGAATTCCAGGAAAGATAATCACATCTTTTTTTTTTTTTTTTTTTTTTGAGACCGGGTCTTGCTCTGTCGACCCAGGCTGGAGTGCAGTGCCGATCTCAGCTCACTGCAAGCTCACCTCCCGGTACCTGACCATTCTCCTGCCTCAGCCTCCCGACGTACTTGGTCTCACAGGCGTCCGCCATCTCGCCCGCTAGTTTTTTGTATTTTTTAGTAGAGACGGAGTTTCACCGTGTTACCAGGATGGTTTCGATCTCCTGACCATCAGCGTGATCCTGCCCGTCTCGGCCTCCCAAAAGTGCTGCGGATACAGGCCTGAGCTACCGTGCTGGCCGATAATCACATCTTACAAAACAAATATCTTGGCAATCACTGTCACTTCATTGTCACTGTCAAGAAATACTAGTATTAAAGTTCTAAAATTTTTCCTGAATTGGTGACGAAATGGTATCAGGAGATATTAACTTAGGTTGTGTTTTGTTGAGCCTAGAAACAGGGAGTTTCTTTACTCTTTCCATAAGCTGTAACCTTTCTTCGTCTTCTATTTATAGCAGAGCAATGATATCGCTCGGGGCTTTGAGAGAGGACTGGAACCAGAAAAGATCATTGGGGCAACAGATTCCTGTGGTGATTTAATGTTCCTAATGAAATGGTGAGAGAGATTTGGCTTCATGTTACAATTGTGTTTCTTTGCCAGTGACTTGAATTTGTGCGGAAGATAGGGTGACAAGATTGTGTATTCCCAAACCATGAATTTTCAATGTCAGAGATTTTTTTTTTTTTTGAAACAGTGTTTCGCTCTTTGTTGCCCAGGCTGGAGTGCAGTGGCGCGATCTCACTCAGCTCACTGCAACCTCCGCCTCCCAGGTTCAAGTGATTCTCCTGTCTCAGCCTCCCAAGTAGCTGGGATTAGAGGCGCCCACCATCATGCCTGGCTAATTTTTGTATTTTAATTAATTAATTAATTTATTTATTTATTTTGAGGCAGAGTCTTGCTCCTGTTGCCCAGGCTGGAGTGCAATGGTGCGATCTTGGCTCACCGCAACCTCCGCCTCCGGGTTCGAGCAATTCTCCTGCTTCAGACTCCCAAGTAGCTGGGATTACAGGTATGCACTGCCATGCCTGGCTAATTTTATATTTTTAGTAGAGACAGGGTTTCTCTTTGTTGTTCAGGCTGGTCTCGAACTCCCGACCTCAGGTAATCTGCCTGCCTTGGCCTCCCAAAGTGCTGGGATTAAGGCATGAGCCACTGTGCCTGGCCCATTTTTGTATTTTTAGTAGAGACAGGGTTTTGCTGTGTTAGCCAGGCTGGTCTTGAACTCCTGGAATATCAAGAGATCCTTGCTGATACCAATTATTGGTGTTAAATGGGAATTATGCTTCAGAATGGCTTGCTATTAAGCCAAATTATATTAGATTACATATCAGAAAAAAAGGTAAATTTGAGGTAGAAAATATGTAAAGGTTGGGTGCAGTGGCTCACACCTGTAATCCCCACACTTTGGGTGGTCAAGGCAGGCGGATCGCTTGAGGTCAGGAGTTCGAGGCTAACCTGCTTAACGTGGTGAACCCCCATCTCTACTAAAAATACAAAAATTCGCTGGACGTGGTGGCGCATGCCTGTAGTCCAGCTACTTGAGAAACTGAGGAAGGAGAATTGCTTGAACCTGGGAGGCGGAGGTTGCAGTGAGCTGAGATCCAGCCATTGCACTCCCGCCTGAGTGACAGAGCGAGACTCTGTCTCTTAAAAAAAAAAAAAAAATATATATATATATATATATATATAAAAAACAACATGACTTAACTATTTGTTTACACAGTTCTGAATTACATACTGTAAGACTATGGGCCTGTGACCCTGGGCTAGACATCAAATGAGGCTTTCTGCCATCCCTGAGGGCCAAACCTGCTGAATAATGTCTGAAAGAGAAAAATAATCTCAACAAAAAGCATTAAAGCTAATACTGGCCAAAGCACAAGTTACTTCATTCTATAGAGAGAGAATGGCGCTAAGATGAAAAGGAAGTAGTTCTTCTCAATTTGATTTCTCTTTTTTTGAGACGGAGTCTGTTTTGCCTGGCATGTAGTGACGCGAACTTGGCTCACTGCAACCTCCGCCTCCCGGGTTCAAGTGATTCTCCTGCCTCAGCCTTCCAAGTAGCTGGGATTACAGGCACCTACCACCATGCCCGGCTAATTTTTGTATTTTTGGTAGCGATGGGGTTTCGCCATGTTGGTCAGGCTGGTCTTGAACTCCTGACCTCAAGCAATCCGCCTGCCTTGGCCTCCCAAAGTGCTGGGATTACAGGCGTGAGCCACTGCGCCCAGCCCTAATTTGATTTCTTAAAGACAGGGTGATTTATGGTGTGGCCCTCACTACCTCTCTGTTTCCAAGTATTCTGGATTTGTGATACATAGAGGGTTTATGTTACAGTGCCACTAAAGAAACATGTTACCTTAAAAGTTATATAATCAAGACCCGGCGTGGTGGCTCACGCCTGTAATCCCAGCACTTTGGGAGGCCGAGACGGGCAGATCACAAGGTCAGGAGATTGAGACCATCCTGGCTAACATGGTGAAATCCCGTCTCTACTAAAAATACAAAAAAAAAGTAGCCGGGCTTGGTGGCGGGCACCTGTAGTCCTAGCTACTCGGAAGGCTGAGGCAGGAGAATGGTGTGAACCCGGGAGGCGGAGCTTACAGTGAGCCAAGATTGCACTACTGCACTCTAGCCTGGGCAACAGAGCGAGAGACTGTCCCCCCGCCCCAAAAAAAGTTATATAATCAAAAGGCTTAATATTTTATCTGATGAGAGTACTGCTGGTAAATTACCCAGAAACCTGTATTGGAAGATTTGCCATATTCAGAAGTAAGGAGCTATATGGACTGCTTGTTTTGTTTTGTTTTTTGAGACAGAGTCTTGCCTTATCACCCAGGCTGGAGTGCAGTGGTACCATCTCGTCTCACTGCAACCTTCGCCTCCCAGGTTCAGGCAGTTCTCATCCCCCAACCACCTAAGTAGCTGGGATTATAGTCATGTGCCATCACACCTGGGTAATGTTTATATTTTTAGTAGAGACGGAGTTTCATCATGTTGGCCAGGCTCGTCTCGAACTCCTAAGCTCAAGCAATCCACCTGCCTCAGCTTCCCAAAGTGCTGGGATTACAGGTGTAAGCCACCACGCCCAGGCTGGACTGCTTTTTAAAAATTTTATTTTAGGCAGTGTCTTGCCCTGTCACCCCGGCTGGAGTGCAGTGGCGTGATCACAGCTCACTGCAGCCTTGACCTCCTGGGCTCAAGTTATCTTCCTACCTAGGTCTCCTGAGTAGCTGGGACTACAGGTGCATGCCAACATGGCCTGCTAATTTTTAAAATTTTTTTTGAAGAGACCAGGTTTCCTATGTTGCCCTGGGTTCAAGTGCTTCTCTCACCTCGGCCTCCCAAAGTGCTGGGATTATAGGTATGAGGCACTGCGCCTGGGCTGGACTGCTTTTTCCTACTCAGCCATATGTGGTTACTTACGATTTACATTAACATTAATTAGCTTTTTCCACCGTAGTCCATATTTGAGTATCTGCTCCAATAAGGTGGTAATTTTTCTTGTCCACATCTCAGGATAATTTTATTTTGTTTTTTATTATTTATTTATTTTGAGACAGGGTCTCGCTCTGTTGCCCAGGTTGGAGTTCAGTGGTTCAATCTCAGCTCACTGCAACCTCCACCTCCCAAGCCCAAGTGATCCTCCCACCTCAGACTCCCAAGTAGCTGGGACCACAAGTGTGCACCACCATGCCTAGCTAATTTTTGTATTTTTTGGTAGAGATGGGTTTTGCCATGTTGCCCAGGCTGGTCTCGAACTCCTGGGCTCAAGTGATCCACCTGCCTCAGCCTCCCAAAGTGCTAGGATTACAGGCGTGAGCTACTGTGCCTGGGCTTCTCAGGATAATTTTAATTTTTTAAAAACTGATTTGGAATCATGTTTAAGGAACCATGTGGCTAGATTTTTTTGTTATACTTGGTAGTAGAGGTTGTGTAACTGAGATAATTGAAATTTGTAGCTAAATTTTTATTTGCTTGTTGTTCCAATCCACAGTTCTGACCAGAGGGGTAATAAGTATTTAAACAGACACAAAGTGAGGAGGGTTAAGACCCCTTCACTTAGATGATCTGGAAACTGGATTGACCAACCTGTGTATAATTGACTTATGCATAATTAATAGAGCTGAATGTAGGTTTGATTGGGTTCACTCACATGCTTGTATTCACAAATAAAAATTTTGGAAGCAGATTAATATTATTTATCATTCAGCTTTTTAACCTAAGCCTACCATGGTTTACATCTAAATTCTAGCTACAGATATCTGTTTCTGTATATTAGGTGTTAATCCATTTACTTAAATTTCTTCTTGAAAATATTGAAAGGGTCCTTTTCACCTTGAAACCAAGGTGAGGAGGAAATCAAGTCAATTAAATCCATATAATGACATAAACTTACGTCTGGACAGATTCTTTCACTCTTCCTCTCCTTTTAAATCTCATATTATTTCTCTCCAGGAAAGACACAGATGAAGCTGACCTGGTTCTTGCAAAAGAAGCTAACGTGAAATGTCCACAAATTGTGATAGCATTTTATGAAGAGAGACTGACATGGCATGCATATCCTGAGGATGCGGAAAACAAAGAGAAAGAAACAGCAAAGAGCTAAAGGAGGGGATGGTCTCTGTCATTTCTCTTTGTACATAATACGTTCACCTCCCTGCCTCCTCTCCCTTCTACCCACCCCTTTCTATCCTAAACACATCCATAAAAAATGTGCTTATCACTGTGCTCCACAGGAGAAATGTTGGTATTGGTTCTCTTGTAACATAACTGATGGTCTGATTAATGATGAGTGTCTCTCTGTGAAGACCAGGCATTTACATACTGAGTGTAATACCCACAATTTTTTTTTCCTTTGCCCTGATCTCTTCCTTCTGCTCCCCTGTGACCTCAAGATGAGTTTTAACTTTTTAATCACCTTAGAGTCTTGATTTTTAGATTGGGGGATTTTGTCACAATGATGTTGAATTTTGGTTTCTTGTTTTGGTTCTTAGAACATGTTGCTGACTAGCTGGCCTTTGTTCTGACATGTTGAGATGGAAAGGATGTTGCCCGTCTGTTAAAAAGCCAATAGCAACTGCCTACCTGTTGGGGCTTTCCCAACCTTGTTCAGCTCTACCCAGGAGAATACAGGGTTTCTGGTGTGGTCTTCTGGGCCACCCTCTGTTGTTCATCCTCACTCATCCTCCCAGAATTACTCCATCCTTTGGAAGATTTGAAATTTTACACTGAAATTTGTCAAGACACTCTTTTTAGCCCCAGGACTTTTGGTCTTGCTTTTAGCACTCTCCACTTCTGCTTCTGTAAAGTGATATCAATTTGTGATAAAATGACAAGATTATTAACTGTGGAGATTTTTAGCTATAGTACATGAGGATGATGGGGTAGGGTACAATTGTCTTTATTATCACATATGGTATGTATGTATGATTTCTTTCCATTCCTCATATTTAGACTGTATATTTATGTAGGTGTGAGTGTTTGCCTGGTGCTTGCTTGTGCCAAGGTGCTAGGCACCCTCCAAGCCTGCCAACTTTTGTGGCCTCCCAAAGCATTCCTGTTACCAAAGAGGCTTCAAACCTGACCCTCACTTCTCAGTGGACCCGAGTTTCCCTTCCATGCCATTATTTTCAGTGGGGAAGTTTTAGAGGTGAGCTGTTGGCCACAATATCAATTTTAAGTATTCATAGCAGTTAAAAGTCTCTTGCATTCTTGGCTCCTGGATTTACCACCAAGAGTCCCCAAAATATTAATGCTCTTCCCTTTTTCTACCCTCAAACTTATAGTTGTATCTTATTTTTTAAAATGAATTTTCATGGCCAGGCACAGTGGCTACCACCTGTAATCCCAGCACTTTGGGAGGCTGAGGCAGGAGAATTGCTTGAAGCCAGAAGTTTGAGACCAGCCTGGGTAATGTAGTGAGACCCCTGTCTCTAAAAAATATAAATAAATAAAAATAAAGGCATGTTCCTAAAAGACTATCACCTTGGAAAGTGACAGGCCCTGGCATTATTAGCATGTTGACACAACCTTTTCTCCTTACTCAGCAAAATATTTCCTTTTGGTTTCTTCTTGTGTTGCTATTATATTGAGAAATTTGTCTGATCATATCCTTCTGCCTTTGTCCCCCAAGAAATGTCCTACTTTATCCTTTTCTTTTTGTGGTTGAGGAGGGCTAGAGAATCACAATTAGAAGTAAGGAAATAGCAGGGTTTTGAGGACCCTTGTCCCAGCCCCAAAGCTGAGGAAATAAGAATAAATGCTTAATATAGCCTTAATTCTAGAGTGCACCAGCCATGAGGCTGCTTTTCTTGTTGCTTTTGATTTTTAAAACATACAGCTGTTTGGCCAGGAGCATCCACCATTTCTAGATTATTCAGAGTAATGAGGGGAATGGATGGATTGCTCTAGTCCACAGATGAGCCACATAATATGCAAATCATATACCCATTCATAGCATTTGTTAACATTGCTTCCCTGCTCAGCTGCTGATTGAATTCTGTGTGCTTATATAAATTATGTCAAAAATTATACTGCATAATTGAGGTGACAGCTGTTGCTGCAGTGACATGACAGACTGGAACAATGAAGCTTTTGGTTTAAGTCAGCTAGGAAAATCCTTCTGAATGGTAATGTGATTGAGCAAGAGCTCATAAACCATACCTCAAGTGGGTGGGAGTTTTATCTGTATATTCCTTCTCTCTCTGAAGGAATTAAAGGCTTAGATCAAGTGCTGGATAATTGTCAATTGCTTGTACTTAATCTGATCGGTTTCTAAAAGAAGGAAAGGATGGTCAGGAAACAGATTTATCATAAATGTAGCCAAGGATATCAATTAGGGTAGACAAGAATAGGACAAAAATAGGCCAGAGCTCCTGAGGAGGTGATTTGGGTCTCGATTTGCAGAAAATGACAGCCTATCCACGTGGCCCAGTGTATGCCTCCCAGTAGCAGTGGGCATGTAAACTGCAGTGACCAGATTTTTAAAACTAAAAATCTCTAGTATATGGACAAAGAACATGACAATATTTGGTACTGAGATTGGTTCTGAGAAACTTGGGGCACATGGCTGCTGTGGTTATAGGTAATATTTAAGACATTCATAACAATCTGATATTCTTTTTACCGAAATAACCCCAGTATCATCTACTACTTATCATCTCTTTAATAGACTTTTGTCTTTCTTGTTTTTGGTTTATTGTACTGAGTGCCGCCAAAACAACTTTTGTTCTCTTCCTGCCTACCTGCAGCTGGTTCAATAGGAATATAGGGAGCTAGAAGCCAATACTGATTTCAGCCCTTAGCACAAAGGAAATCAGATGCCTGCTTCCAGCATTTGTTAGTGTTGAGTAGATGTTCTTGCCCTAGAAGAATTAACAGCCTCAAACAGAAACCTGTTTCATGGAGCTTTCCCCCGTCAGAAGAGTTAATAGTTAAGTGCTAAGCACTCTTAAACTCCTAGGTCTCAAATGCTAAAAGTATATTTTTCCTGTGTTTTAGTCCTCTTTCAAGAAATCTTTCTAATCCTTTCAATAATCAGCATTAAAAGATCTTCCTTTCTTCAGAGTTATAGCACAGCTTTGTCCAGTAGAGTCTACCAAGGACAGCTTAGCAGCTCTTTGATCGCTGGGCTAGGCAGATGGCCTTCAAGTTAAGATCAAATGCCGGAAAATCAGCCTACATGGGAGCACCCATTTTAAACCTGGAGAGAACCATGGTGTTTTCTTCTTCAAATAACAATCTGGTTTTTTTTTCCCCCAGTACTAAAATTTTATTGTCTTTCAGACAACATAATGTTTATTTAAAATTGGAACATACTATCTTCATGCTTTCTTTTTCTTTTTTCTTTTTTTTTTTTTTTGAGACGGAGTCTCGCTCTGTTGCCCAGGCTGGAGTGCAGTGGCCGGATCTCAGCTCACTGCAAGCTCCGCCTCCCGGGTTTACGCCATTCTCCTGCCTCAGCCTCCCGAGTAGCTGGGACTACAGGCGCCCGCCACCTCGCCCGGCTAGTTTTTTTTTTTTGTTTTTTAGTAGAGACGGGGTTTCACCGTGTTAGCCAGGATGGTCTCGATCTCCTGACCTCGTGATCCGCCCGTCTCGGCCTCCCAAAGTGCTGGGATTACAGGCTTGAGCCACCGCGCCCGGCCTATCTTCATGCTTTCTAAGCTAAATCTTAATTTAGATTTCACTCCTCAGTAGATCTCAGAGGAGAAGCTATATAGGATACAGATTCAAATTTAACAGTGTCTTCTACTACTTTAGTTATGTTTTCTATCAACTCCTGCTGCTGCTTCAAATAAGGATATTTCTCAGGAGACTCTTCTACTTGTCCACTGACTGTATTTTTTCCTTTTTGATCTGTAGCCCCGGTTAAATGGCTGATGTCCTTCTGTGGATGATTCTTGGAGGTAGTCTCAGAATTCCAAGGTGATTGTCTATCTTCCTCTTGTCTTTATCCTAATGCATTCACCTCATTTATTTATTTATTTATTTTTAGATGGAGTCTTGCTCTGTCACCAGGCTGGAGTGCAGTGGCACAATCTTGGCTTACTGCACCCTCCATCTCCTGGGTTCAAGCGATTCTCCTGCCTCCGACTCCCTAGTAGCTGGGACTACAGGTATGCGCCACCATGCCCAGCTAATTTTTGTATTTTTGGTAGAGGTGGGGTTTTACCATGTTTGCCAGGATGGTTTCGATCTCCTGACCTCATGATCCACCCACCTTGGCCTCCCAAAGTGCTGGGATTACAGGCATGAGCCACTGTGCCTGGCCACCTGTATTAATTTTTGTGCCCAAAAATAAAATTGTCATTATTTGTTTGCTCTCATGGGGCACTTTCAGTAATATATTTTTTTTAAAATTCTAGTTGCCCGCTTTGTTGATCCTTCCTTTGTAATACCAGACTTTGCTAAAGACTTGAGGGGTGGTTTCAGAATAGGGTCAGGTGATGGGAAGGCAGGATGAGAAAAGCCCTGGACTTGCATGTTTGAGAAGGCTTCCAACCACATCTTCACTCACACTCTAGGTCGGAATTCTTGTCCCCAAAACAAGCTTCTGTTTTTTTGTTCACAATGCTATATTTGCTTCTAAATTTTTCCTGAATTGCTGAGAAGCAGTCATTAGCTTTGTTAAGTTTGGTTTGGGGACATCGTTGGTATCAAAATCGAAGTCTTCATTTGATGTAGGCTGTGAATCATCAATAACTGGTTACTGGAAAGCTTGACTACCATCCACTGGGTTGCTATTTTGAGAAGGATTTTTGGGTATCTTTTCTTCTTTATAATCTGCAATTAGTTGATGATTGCTTTCTAGTTTATCAACTGCATTTATATTTGCTTTTCTGTTTACTAAAAATCCATTATTTGCTGGCACCCCCCCACCCCACTTACAGCAGGTAAAAGTGGTCTGAGGTTATCCTTGTTTTTCTTCACGGTTTGCCATGTGTGAAAGCAGTTTTCCTGCTACTGATATATTCTCATTATAGACAGAATAGTGGAGAACAGTGTTGCCATGGACAACAATCCAGTTTTGGTCTCCCTTGGGGAGCATTTGGACTTGTGGTGCTTCTAACACTTAAAAGTCTAGATGGTTCTTGACTGTCCCCCAGCCATACTGCATACTACTTTGTGCATTCTACTTTGTGTCATTAATGAAGGATTGGTCATGTCTCTGTAACTTAGGCATTTATTATTCTTAACTCTTCGTTCCTGTTCTGTAGCCACCCTGCATATGTCCAGGCCAAGCCACAGGGCATTGGGGAAGGTTTTTGGGATTTTCATATTGAGATTTTATTGAATCTGTAGTTTACCCCAGCTTTCGTAAGATACAGTGAGGGGTTGGAGGGATCTGTGTTTGGCCTGGGGAGCAGTTGTCTCTACCTTAAGGTTATATTTTGAGGGCATAAAATACTATTTTGCAATGTCATGAGAACCCCATTAGATCTGAAATGTGGAAATGGTTTCTCACAATTTAAAGGAAAAACTCACTTTGCACCCATGATCCCATCCTTTTGGTTGAGATTTTAGAATAAATATTATAGTGTTGAGATCCGTACTTTTGTAATCAGAGCACCAAGCATGCCTGTGGCAAGGCAGAGAGGAAAGGTCTAGAGCTAGTATATTGCAGTTTCATGCTACCTTTACCTACTAATCATAAAAATTATGTTTTCAAAAGTAGATAATACTAGCCTTACACCCAAAAACATGTTCTGAATTAGATGCCCCTCTCACCCAATTTTTATTAAGCTTTCTAAATTCCAGCCACATTGCTGTACATCAACATTGGTTTCATTCAACAGACTTTTTTTGGCCTGAAGATACAAAGTTCAGAAAGAGGCCATCCCTGCCCTCAAATAACTTTCATAGTGGTGTGTGATGAACTGACCATTAATAGTTTAAGTGCTTACAAGCTATGTTTCTGTTAAAAAAAATAGCTTGGTATAATAAGTGCTATCTATAAACCAATACATATTTCTGACTTGGGGGCAGAGACAGACTGGCTGATGTTGTGTAGTTTGTAGCCCTAGAGTAAGAAGTTGACATTAATTTTGGCTTATATGTGGAAAAGACCTATAACATTGGGTGAACTGAGCCAGCTGGCCATAGAACACAAGAACATATTCCGGGAAATAAATATAGCTGAGGGTTGGAAATGCTGTTATTACCGAGAGAGAAAACAGGTGAGTTGGGATTGAGAACTCCTGATTTTCATCCCTGGTTTAGATTCTTGGCCACAGTAGTGGTAGAGTTAATCTTTGCTTGTGGAAAGCGTTAAGTGTGTTGCAGATTCAGTTGTGTTACATTATTGTGGGTTCTATAACAACATATTCCTCATGGAAACTTCACCAGAGTTGCTCACACTTTTTTCAATTTCTCATCCCTTTTGGAGGAATGAACATGAGACTGCCTTTAAGCCTAAAACAGGGACATGCTTTCCAATGACGAGATTTTCTAAAGAGAAGGCTTGGAGCACATCTGTTAATACCTGAGCACCTACTCTGAGCAGAGCAGTTTTATTCAATACTGAAGAGAGGGTGATTTCTAAGCAGAGAATTGTATCACTTATGTGGAAACCTTTCCCAGAAATACATATACCTTGTATATTAAATCCGAGTCTCAGATTTAATCATCGAAGCCTAGCCGGGTTAAGAAACAGTCTGATCTGGCCGGGTGCAGTGGCTCACGCCTGTAATCCCAGCACGTTGGGAGGCTGAGGTGGGCGGATCATGAGGTCAGGAGATTGAGACTATCCTGGCTAACACGGTGAAACCCAGTCTCTACTAAAAATACAAAAAATTAGCTGGGCGTGGTGGCAGGCACCTGTAGTCCCAGCTACTCTGGAGGCTGAGGCAGGAGAATGGTGTAAACCCGGGAGGCGCAGCTTGCAGTGAGCCGAGATCGCTCCATTGCACTCCAGCCTGGGCGAC